ACGGCCTACCCCCCAACCCTCACGGCCAAGCCCCTACCCATCCCATGGTCACCCGGTCCAAGGCGGGTATCACCCGTCCCAAACACATCCTCGACCTAAGCACTACCGCCCAAATCTCCCCTCTACCCCCTACCTACCGTAGTGCCCTTAAGGACCAGAACTGGTATAATGCTATGTGCGATGAATTTAATGCTTTGATTAACAACGATACATAGGAACTTGTACCCCCCTCCCCCTCCCAAAATGTTATCACCGGTAAATGGCTCTTTCGCCACAAACTTGGCCCTGCAGGTGAACTATCCAGGTACAAAGCTCGGTGGGTGGTCCGTGGATTCAATCAGCGCTTTGGAATCGACTATGAGGAGACTTTCAGTCCGGTGGTGAAACCTGCCACGGTGCGCATTGTTCTTAGCCTAGCCCTGTCACGTGGATGGCCTATTCATCAGCTAGATGTGAAGAACGCCTTTCTTCACGGCACTCTTAAGGAGACAGTATATGCCACTCAACCATACGGGTTCCAGGATCCAACACGGCCCCATTATATGTGTCGACTGAAAAAGGCGTTGTACGGTCTCAAGCAAGCTCCCCGCTCCTGGTATCACCGCTTTGCAGGATTTCTCCTTACCTTGGGCTTTCTTGGCTGCAAGAGTGACACATCTCTTTTTGTCTACACCCGTGTGGATGACAGGGCATATTTGTTACTTTATGTGGATGACATTGTTCTCACCGCCTCCTCTTCCTCCTTACTTCAGCGCCTCACTCAACAACTCAAGGGAGAATTTGCTATGACAGATATGGGTGACCTTAACTTTTTCCTCGGGATTAATGTTCAGCGCACTCCGGAGGGGCTATTTCTTCATCAGACACAGTTTGCTCAGGAGATCTTGGAACGGGCAGACATGCTGAACTGCAAACCCATCTCCACTCCAGTGGACACTAAGGCGAAGCTCGGCGCTTCCTCTGGAATACCTCTTACTGATCCCACTTTATACAGGTCCATTGTTGGTGCTCTGCAGTATCTCACATTCACCCGCCCCGATCTCACCTATGCAGTCCAGCAGTTATGTCTTCACCTCCATGCCCCTCACAGCACTCATCTCACTGCCATGAAGCGTGTTCTACGCTACCTTCACGGCACCACTACTCATGGGATTACTCTGCATCGCACCTGCACGGATTGCTTATAGGCCTATTCTAATGCTGATTGGGCAGGATGCCTAGATACTCGCCGCTCTACCTCTGGATATTGTGTGTTCCTTGGCGATAATCTTGTTTCCTGGTCCTCCAAGAGACAAGCTACCACATCCCGCTCGAGTGCTGAGGCTGAGTATCGTGCAGTTGCAAACGCCGTTGCTGAAGCAAGTTGGATCCGAAATCTGCTTCTCAAGTTACAGCAACCTCTACGATGCACAACTTTGGTCTTCTGTGACAATGTCAGCGCAGTGTATCTCTCATCCAACCCTGTTCAGCACCAGCGCACCAAACATGTGGAGGTTGACATTCACTTTGTCAGAGACAAGGTCGCCCTAGGACAGGTCCGCGTACTTCATGTTCCCTCATCTTCCCAGTACGCTGACATCTTCACCAAAGGACTCCCATCACTTCTCTTCTCCGATTTCAGACATAGTCTCGGCATCCGTCCTTCATCGGTTACGTAGTTGGGAGCATGTTAAATATATGTTGTATATTTTATATATTTGGTAGTTTCCCTTGTATAGAAGGATTGCATTTATATCCTACCATAATTAGGAGACTTGTCTCTTGTATATATTCGAGGCTTGACCTCCGAGATTAATATAGAAATTAATCTTTCTTCAGTTTCGACTTCCTCGAATGGTGGAATTGAAATAACAATTGTTCCCGTCTCTCGGAACGCTAGCCAGACAAGTCTTATACATGCCGGATTCAACCGTAGCCGTGGAACAAGAATTCAGTTCTAGCGGCAACATTTTTACTGACTACCGAAGTTGTCTTAACACTGAATTGCTTGAGACACTTATTTCCAACCGAGATTGGCTCTTGGCAAGACGTCGAGCTCAAGAGTGAGGGTACAACGTTATATCGAAAATTACATGGATGCAACCACAGAGGGAAGCGGTAGTTCTGGTAACGGTTCCATGGGGTAGCAGTACCAGAACCACCGGTTCTGGAACAAGAATCGGACCGGAACCGCGCCGTGTCAACCCCTACTCCTACCCATAAGAATTTAAATTATACTCCCTCCATTTCTTAAAATACTTTCTCTTTATTTTTTTTGTTTTCTCCAAATACTTCCATTTTCTATTAAAAACCACTTTTACCTTTACTTTTTCTTACCCTACCTATCACATCATAGTTTTTACTTATAATCTATCCATCACATCTTACTTTTATCTATCACGTCAAAGACAAAATTGTAAACTCAACATAAATATATACTCCTTATTTTTCCTAAAATTCAAAATAAGAACCGTTTTATGAAAGGGAGAGTGTATAAATTAATTTTGTTTAAATAACAAGCAATAGTTGGCGAAGGATTGATCCTTTTATTTATCATAGGCCAAGATCGAGGTGTAGATCATTTTTCGGTATTTTTAGACACATCTTCCATTCATTGTAACTGTCGAGGATAGCCGTATAAATCCTTGCATAGACGGTAAAAGATAGCTGAGAAATCCTTGGGTAAAGGTTCAAGGATAACCTTTCAAATTCTTGGGGGGATCAGTCGAAGATAGCCGTGAAATTTTTATTGTAAGTGGTTCGAGATTGCCGTTGTAAAATCTTGGAGTGAATCCTATTGGCAAGAATTGTTTGACAAAACTAGTGGGGTGCTTTAACGGAGTTCAAGAGACCAAGACCTAGTGAATTCGGAAATTCTTAAGGAGGATCCTTAAGGTACTAGAGTAGGGAGTTCCCGAACAAGCCTTAATTGGTGTGTCTTTAGTTTACGCTTTTATTTCTGTGCTTTATTTATTGCTTTCGCATTTGCCAAAACCAATTTTACTAAACACTAAAAACTTTTTAAACGCCTTATTCACCCCCCTCTAAGGCATAGACACAACGACTAATAAGTTCTGAAAACCAGACCGGACCAGACATCGACCAGGATGAGGGAGTGTGTCAAGGGCTAACCAGTTGAACCGGTAAACCCGGAGGTCAACGACCTAGTCAATATGAATTTTAATTAATAATTTATATTATATTATTAGGTATTTTAGTTATAAAAGTATTTTAATTTGTATTCTTTTCTTCTCCATTTAGTTCCTAATATGATTGTAGATATACAATTCCATACTTGGTTTTTTATCA